AGCACCAGTTGGGGGGTAGGGGGGCGGTGCGCGCGTTGCAAAGTTAAGAGTCCCCTAAACGCCTGGGTTGGGGGGCGCGGGCGGCCAGTGCGGCGACCCTCGAAGCGCTCCAACTTTCCTAACCTCCCGCTGGGATGCCGCGGAGAGCACATCTCTATCATCAGTTCCCTGATGGTCCAAGGGTGAGGGGGAGCTACTCTGAGGTTTCTAGAATTGACAGTCGCATTCGGGAGAAACGCTGCTGCTCTCTGCAGAGGAGCACCTTTGTTGTTCTGAGATATTTGTTTAAGACTCTTCTTTTGAAAAAATTAATGCATGAAAGACGCGTTGAAATACACGAATACGTTCTTGAGTGTAATTTTACACAGCCCAGGCACATCTAGAGTAAAAGGACCGTATCACATCCCCTGCCCATTGCAGCCGCTCCCCAGAGGTAGCCTCGGGTCAGGGTGTGCCCGGCTGCCAGTCCTTCCCGTCCTTGCTCTGCGTTTTTACATGCGTACGCACACGCACGGATTGCAAGTGGACGCTCCCCGGCTTTTCAAAAGAATGTTTCCCTATGCAGCGCATGCACACACTGGCGAGAACACCGCCACTTCAGCTGCGGTAAATTCCCCAGAGGCTTCCAGAGTCCGGGGAAAGCGCCTTGCAGGGAAACAGCAAAGAGCCACTCAATCGCCCTGTGCAAATCTGAAACCCCAGCTGGGGCATGAAGTCAGCCCGAACACGCAGCTCACGCCCAAATTAGCATTGCACGGTTAGAGAAATCTGCCAGTGCGTTTCAGACAGGGTTATGGCCTTCGCGTTCTTACAGAAAACAAGCTGTCTTGGATTTTGAGTTGATGAGAACTGTTTGGATTTACAAAATAAAAAGGTATCATCTACGTTAAGACATGATCATTATTTATGCTTGTGGTCTTGAGGGATGTGGTTTTCACTCAGTATTACGTGTTTTATTGGCATGGAGATAATCTATAGCTGGGATATAAATAAAATCCATGTGATTTTGCAGGAAGCCATTAGGTATTGAGATCGCTGGTTTCTATAATTAGCTGTGACCTTGGGCAAGACATTCAGCTCTGTTGGGCCTCAGTTTCTTTATCTATAAATAGAGGAGTTGTGCTAGATGCTGGGGTGGGGGCGGGGAGGAGAGAGAGACAGACAGAGAGAGACAGAGAGAAGTCTGGCCCTAATAGTTAGTGAACAACGGATTTCCTTTATCCACCTTTCAACTTGTCTCCAACCTCCCCTCCTTAGGGAGTGGCTCTCCCAGCACTGTACACTTCCCTTCCTAACGCTGATCTCACTTTGCAGTTATGCACTGGTTAGGGTGACCCTTCCGTAGGTGTGGGCCTCTCCTACCAGACTGTAAGTGCCTTGAAGGCAGGAACTGGGACTGCCTGAGGCCATCCTTGAGTCCCCAGCACTTAGTGGAGTGCCTGCTACACGACGGCTGTGCTACAAGAATATGAAGGACATCATCCAGATGGTAGATTTCTTACTGCTCTCCCAAATCCCTTGGCATTTTTCAAAGATCTGTTAAGTGGAAACATTTTCAAAAGGAGGCTTTGGAAAGCACCCAGCAGGGTTTTCCCATCTTAGGGGGACAAACAGTCCACTGTCTAGATGAGGACAATTCTCAGCTGAGCCACAGACTGTGGAGGCGGCCACCAGCTATTTACCTTGATGAGCCTTGGCTCCCGGGGAGAAGACAACGAATATTAATGCTACTCATTAAGTTCTTGATTAAGTTGGAACCATGCATAGGCAGTTGCATTGCACACATGAGCACTTAGAGTTAAATGAGGCCGTGGGGTGTGTTTAGGGTGCAAATTAACAAATGTACACGCTTCCAACCAACAATCTAGAAACATTCCTCGTATCAAGTTTCAGGGAATGCTTGTCTTTCTTTACTGCAAAGGGCCTGAATTCCTTAAATATATGAACAGGAAACGGGCTAACTTGGGTTCAAGCATTAAAAAAAAATTAAGGCCACGATGAAACAAAAGGTGGGGGGCAGTGAATATCTAATGCAGCATTAAGACTAATTTCTCTGTCTCTCATCCCATGCACAGAGTTCCCAAGGGAGAGGTTTAAATCTGGCCTCCAATGGAAAAGAAACTGAAAATATATATGTATGTATGCCTATGTATAACTGAATTGCTTTGCCATACACCTGAAACTAACATTGTAAATCAACTACACTTCAATAAAAAATAAGAATAAAAAAAAATCTGGCCTCACAATTCATAGAGGAAAACAGGAGTGCTGGAGTTTCCATCCCCTTCTCTGCCACTCTTTCCTTTTCTCTTGTTTGTGACGGGGAGATGCAGTCCCAGGTGTCCCTCCAAGCCCCTTGCGGAAGCCCTTAGTTTAGTCTGCAGGGAAGGGCGCTGTGTTGGTGAGGCAAGCAGGACTCAAACTGGTGGGAGGAGACACCACGCCCAGCGCAGGGAGAGAGGATGCTCCTGGGTTGTGGAGCAATGTACTGTCTCTGTTTCCAGTGAAGGGTGGCGCCCACGGCCAGAGGGCACCCTCAGAACCTGGATTCCTGCTGAAATTGATTTAGGATTTCTTTCCAGCTGACAAAACAATGTCAAATGAATTGGCACAACTCTCCACTGGGGGCTGGCACCAGGAGCTGTCCCTTTGAATTGCGTACCACCCCATGATGTTTTTTGGGGTAAATTCAGTTTTAAAAGTAAAAATGGATCTTAAAGGAGAAGCAGGTCAGGAGCTGTGGGAGCCTGTTAAAGAGGGAGGGGCTGACCCATCCTTGGCTTCAGTGGGACACTGGGACGGAATTTGGGTGCTGGTGACTTACTTGTTTTGCATAGACAGCAAAAAGCTATACAGACAAACTGAAAACACCTGAGATTCCATGCCAGCCTGCGACAGGAAACTGTCATTGCAATGACTTCTGACAAAGGAATTGAAGCAAACTCTAGACGTGGTGGCTATTGTTTGAGAGACAGACTTTGTAACACAGAATTGTGCTCTTTCCACTTCAAGCCACAGACCAATTGGAAAGATTTGAAATTTAGTGCCGTCTAATAAAAATGTTAATCCATGCACCCTTCGACCCAGCAAATCCATTTCTGGGATTTTATATCCAAAAATGCTTCACATGGGTACAAGGATATGTGAGCAAGAATGTTCACCAAAGTAGAATAATTGGGAAAACATGTTCACATAGAAGATTATGCAATCTTTTTAAAGAGATGTGATGGACCTCTTATTTATTCAGAAAACCAAATAAAATCTTAAGCAGGGGAAGCAAGTTGCTGGGTTAAACACAGTATGATCCCATTTACAAAACAATAACAGTTTTATTTTCTTTTAAATAAATGTTAGAAGAAAAAGGTAGAGTGATTCGCCCTTAGGGATGGAGTTGTGGATGGCTTTCACTTCCTGTATTGCCTGTTTCTGAAAGATCTGAAATTTTCTACAGCAACATTTTTATCATTAGAGAAAAGTAATCAAGATTTAAAGTGTAAACATTGAGGAAAAAAAAAAGCTATGCGGGCTAGATGCGTCCCAGCAGCATTGCCTGCTCTCATAAATCCAGCGTACCTTGTGTCAAGCATTTACTCCAAGGCCGGCAATGAGTGCGACCCTGGGGATGTTGGCTTGAAGAACACAGCCTCTACCCTTAAGACACTTGCAGTCCAGTGGGAGAAAGAAAAGAAGAACAAATAGGTGTCAGTAGCTGGGGTTGGGGGCAGTACCTTAGAAGCTCCATTTTTCATCTCATTAGCCTCTCTCTGCGTATAATTGTAGTGAAGCATGGTGCTTGTGCAAATGCAGCTTTAAGATCAGTCTCTGGCCTTCCCTGCCCATCAGACCTTGGCTCAGAATCCCCTACAGACACGGTGGAGTTGACATTGCAAGGTAGAAGGGAAGAAGAGACAGAAGGAAAGGGCAAAGACAATGACAAAGTATTTAGAAGGCAAGCTGACTACTAGTTGAAAGGATTGGCAGTCTTTTTTTGGGGAGGTAATTAAGTTTATTTTTGTTTGTTTGTTTGTTTATTTATTTACTTTAAAATTGGAGGTCCTGAGGAATGAACCCAGGATTGGAAAAGTCCTTATGGAAGAGGTGTTACTTGAGATGGTCTCTGATGGATAGATTATATTTTATTTGTTTTGTTGGGGTTTTTTGAGGGGGTGGTAATTAGGTTTGTTTGTTTGTTTATTGCTAGATGTACTGGAGATTGAACCCAGGACTTCATGCATGCTGAGCACAAACTCTGCCACTGAGCCATACCCTCCTCCTGGATTTGATTTTAGGGTGCAGATATAAGGAAGGAGGGAGAGTATGCCAGGCTGGGGGATCACGTGACTAAAGCCTGAAGATGGCAAAAGGTGGGCAAATTCAATAAAAAGTGGTTAAGTCTAGTTGGAATTCATGTACTGGAATAGAGATGTGATGGAAAAGGGGGGTTAGGGCCATACTATGGAGAAGCTTGGTTGCAGAATGACTAATAGGGAGCCATCAGTGTTTACTGAGCAGAATAATGTAAGTGCAGCTGCACTTTAGGTAGGTCAGTGGTTTGGAGAGACAGGAGGTAGAAGACCAGCCAGAAGATTCTATTAATCTTGGCACATCATTGTCAAGAGCGTGACCCAAGGTGCCAAGAGTGTACTGGGAAGCATGGGGCTGGTGGAAGACTCAAATGCTTTGCAGAAGAGGGAGAGAGAAGCAGCCGTGTCAGGGGTGGTAAGTGCTCATTATAGAGACTGGGAAGTTTTGAGGAGAAGCTTGGAAGGAGGTGGATGGCGCCTGGACCAACCAGCATTGTCTCGCCATGGGAGGGAACCCCCAAGCTATGCTGAGCAAATTCCCTGATTGTCCGTATTTGATAGTATGTACATGTGTTTAAGCTAAAACACGGCACCTCTGCTCATCACAAGAAAAGAAGATCAAATTAATTCATTGTTTCTCTTCAGCTTTCTTTCCCACAGGCCAGTCATTTGCTGTCTAATGGTAAGAACCATAAGACCAAAAAAAAAGGTGTTTTTGTCGCTATTGTTGTTAAGTAAGCAATCAGCCAGTCTCAGGAATGGGAAGCAAACAACACATGTCTCCATTGTTGTTTTGTAAATTTGGACAACAGAATTAGGTGACGGGAAAGCAGACTTTCCTGTGAGGCCTTGCTGGCTGGTTTAGCCAGGAGGCTAGCTGGAGGTTTTGGGCAGCCGCAGTTGCAAGACAACAGCTAGGATGTGGTTGGTCAGCACGTCCACCCACCCCACGACGGCCCCCGCAGAAGCCCGTCCTTGGCAATTCAGAAACCGCAGGGCCAGACCGCGGGGCCAACTGACACGCTGCATTCCCTCCTGGTGATGTGACCAGGAGGGCAAGGCTCGCTCACTTCCCTTGTTTGTTTGTTTTTTTGGGGGGAGTGGATTGGGGGAGGTAATTAAGTATATTTATTTTTAAGCGGAGGTACTGGGGATTGAACCCAGGACCAAACACATGCTAAGCACGCACTCCACCACTGAGCTGTACCCTCCCCCCTTTGCTGACTTCTTTATCTCGAGGCAAGATGGGTTTGGATTTTGTTTTGTCCTTGTTTACTGCATGCTGACCCTGCCGGAACATTCCATCTTTGTTATAGATGCTTGCTCCGTCCTCACAGCACTCTGCATGCCAGGTGGGGGCAAGTACTACCATTTTATGGAGAACTGAGATTCAGAGAGGTGAATGAGTTGATGAACACATCGTAGTTAGGATTCAAATCCATAGCCATCTGAGTCCTCCAATGGTGCATTTCCTGCTAAGCACATGGCGCATTTTCCTTCTGTGCTCCATCGGTTTAAGCCAGAAACGCCTGTGCTGACAGCTCTGGAGTGTGAGCTCATGCCTTTCTGCGGTGTTGTCAAAGCTGGTGGGGTGTGCATGCCGTGCTGTCACCCCCAGCCAAATGCACCGGATGTCCCCAGAGCAAGGTCGCTGATGGGATGTTTTTCTGGTGGGCTTTGGAAGGCTTTGTGGGTCTGTGAGCCCCAGAGAAGGTCAGGGAGACACTGGGTTCCTTTTAATACTCAGATGCGCTTCCCAGGAAGTGACTGAGTCGCACCTATTTCTGGGGCTCTCGGGTTGATATTCCAATTTGGACCCTTTGTGAAGGAGCTCATTGGCTGCTGTAAATACATGCTCAGTGATCAGCCAGGGTTTTCATCTTGCTTCTTAACTCACCAACGTCTTTAATAAAATGATTCACTAACATATGGAAGTCAGATCTCATGACCCCCAGAAGCTGGCTTCTCTGGAATAAACTTAATTCAATTAAAAAAATCTATTCCTATTCTAGTAGAATTAACATCAGATTGCATGATTTTAAATTTCACTTTATCAATTATTAAGCATTTATTAAGAACAAGGAATGCAGTACTTAATCCAAATTTTTAAATAAATATACTATAGTATATAAAACAAAAGAAATTCTCATCCCTCATGCATGGAGGTCTTGTTGATTTTGTTTTCCAGCCCCAACTGGGTTTTAAAGATACTCCTGGGAGAGCACCAGGCATTGAACCTAGTCCACAAATTGGATAAATTTAGCCATGGACTGGAGAGGGGAGACACAGGGATCATACCTGTTGTCTGGAGGTAGTGTTTGTGGGGTTCAATTACTTTTTTAACAAAAGAGGCCACTGGTATTTAAAAATATACAGATCAGTTAGGGTAAGGCTGCTGTGCTGTAATAAAGAGACCCAACAATAAGATGGCTTAACGGAGAACGTGTATATTCTTTGTCTCTCACAAAATAGTCCAAGGTGAGCCTTCCAGGCTAGTGATCCCTGTGGTCATTCTGGGATTCAGGCTCTTTCCCAGTCATTGTTCTGCCATCCCCCAGAGCCTTATTGTGATCTGCATAATTAAAGCTGGCTTGCTGCCAAGCCTGGGTTGCTGCCTGTAGGAAGGGGAAAGAGAGTGTGTGTGTGTGTGTGTGTGTGTGTGTGTGTGTGTGTGTGTGTGTGTGTGAAGGGGTGGGCGTGGCTTCTGCTTGCATCATCACTTCTAATATTCCATTAGAGGAAGTCATAGGTCCACTCCTAGCTGCAAGGGAGGCTGGGAAATTAATGTAGTTAGGTAGCTGCTGTTCTGTTTCCATGGAGCCAGGGACCAGCACAGCAGCCCCAGGGTCTGATCTGCTTCTATTCTTGTGCTTTCAAATCCATTCCTTCACACAGCAGACAAAGTGAAATTTAGTAACATTAATGAGACCATGTCTCTTGTTTGAGATCTGCAATGTTTTTCCATCACACACAGAATAAAATTCCAGCTCCTTACCCTGGTTTACCAAACCCACAAGACCCAGCTCCTGACCCGTCTCTGACCTCACCTACCACTCTGCCCCTCTTACACTTTGCTTTAGTTCCATGGCCCAGTTGTATCTAAT